GGGAAGAGAAAGGTTGAAGGTGATATAAAGAAAGAGGGGAATTTTCTAGTCTTCTACCTCTAACTTTTATTAAAGAGATATCGGGCGTTCCAACATGTTTTGAATATAGTCGATTTTGTATATATCGTTGAAAAGACAAATCATGTAGTCCTGAATTTTTTTCCAAAAGATACACTCCTGAATTTGAGAGTGTCACGGAATTTATTTTTTTGGGATTTAGTGAATTCTTTTAAGCTATGGAAATTTATCTATATGATAGCATAGGATAAAATTTAACTACACCAAAAAAATTCATGATTCGGAGAGTAAGACTTGATCTTCAGCTAGTGCTCATCCGAAACCTTGTCTGCCGTCACCCTCAGTCAGACAGTCGTCTTTGCATTAATTATTGTCATTTGACGATAAAATGAAGATGGAGATTTATAGAACAATTTCGAAAAATGAATCCTGGCAGCTGCTGCTGAATTCTCTAGAGAAACTGCATCACAAAGTCCTGTTATCTTGTTCTGATGAGCTTTTAGAAAACTGAAAGAAAAGATGTATAAAATGTTACTACTTTTTGCTGTATTGGAAAAAGTAAAGATATTTTTAATATATCTATTTCTCATTTATTTTCGCTTAAGCAAACCATAGAACTTGAAGTTTTCTAAAAAACAAAATGCTCTCTTGACTTGTTCTAATCGACTTTCATGATGGCTAAAAGCAAAGATGTACAAGACTCTATAATTTTTTTACTCTTTTGAGTTGAATTTGCTTCTCTATTTAAAAAACTAATCGCCTAACTGTTGACTTTTGATTCTTTAAGACGATTTTCGAACACGAAAACGATCATTTTGATGATATCACTGTATTTAGTAATGCATTCTTATACAAAAAGACTTGCTTTCGATAATCAGCTTCCCATTTCTGACGCTGCTAGTGAACTGTTATAGTGACAAATAACATTATCTCTGGCATCTTTACATTTTATCCTTTCAAAATCGCTTAGAATAATCCAAGGACACCTTTTCTCTGAATATTATAAAGAATTTAACGGCACATCTTTCAAAGCAATCTAATTTTTATCATTTTTCTGTGCGAAAGTAGATGAAAAATAGATTTTATTTCCAATATGTTTCTTATTTTTAATATAATGAGAAGTAGAAACCTTTTATACATTTTTTTTCAGCTTTCTAAAAATCCATCAATGGAAGTCGATAGAATTTTTTGATTCAGTTGTTATAGAGAACGCCGACAACGCATTTTCAAAAAAATTCATGATTTTAGCATTTGTGCATGCAAAGATACATACAAAATAAACTTTGTTGATAACATTTGGAACATCCGATTTAATTCAGAGTAAGATTCTAAAATTTACTCAAATATTGAGCCTCCCCAAGCCTCTCCTTTGATGTTTTAGGGGAGGCTTGAGCCTCCCAAAGCCTAATGGCTCCGCCGCCTCTGATTTGTTTTTTGTTTTCAGATTTTTATTTAATCTGTTTTTATAAATACAAGATATAATTTCGGACAAAAAAAAAGATGATATAAAATATGCTCAACGAATTTTTTCTATTCTGAAAAAAATTCATTTGAGTAAATGTAAAAGTCTTCCAATAACAGAATGATTTGAATTAAGAAATTCAGTACAAAGTGCTCATATAATATTATATGTGACGATGTATGTGAAGTGTTCAAACTTTATCCCGGGGTGTAACAACTCAAGAAAATACTTTCTGTTGTGTCATAATACGCTTATTATGTTGTTATCTTATGCATTGTCCTTGGTTTGCTGTCCTTACTTCGTACATCATGTTGTACTTTATCTCTATCATATAGCACTTACATTCTGTCCTTACTGTCCTTTCCTTTCCTTTCCTGTTATCTTCTTCTCTTCTATGGACAAGTATATAAGTGTATGCTTTGTATATGTAAACGATGCAATTCTTGATGGGAAGAAATACAATAAAGCGTAGTTCCATCAGCGCTAGCTCTTCTTCCATCTAAAATCGTCACATTATCATGTTTCCACAACAATATCAATCGAATATGTCTTTCTTCTTCATTTGTGATTTATGGTATTCGAAATCTTTCAAGACAAAAAATAAAAAATTAAATTTTTTGGATTAGTATTTAAATAAAGATTATCCAACGAAAACTGAAAAAAAAGAAAATCAAAATTCATTATTTTTGATTAATCATTTAATTTTATTTAATAGAATTGAAGAAGATTCTACTATTATTTTAAGATAAGAAGCATGATGGATAAATTTTTTCTTTTTTTCTCTGGATTTTTCCATCTTATCAAACGCAGAAATTTATTGAAAAGCAGACAAGAATCATATTATCGAGAGGAAAGGCTTACGAGTATGATTAATTTTAAGGTTCCTTGGCTCATGACAATATACGTAGAGACAATTGATGAAGTTCAAATTAGAATGTGTATGTTTGAAGTTTAGCTGTTTATTCTATCATATTATTTGTAGATTGCACTCTTGTAAGTATAACGAAAAGGAAATTTTCAAATCTAATTGGAAGTATCAATTTTGATAATCAATCTATATAATGTATGTATTACAATCAATACTTTAAAAGCATAGAAATATTTCCTTGTCAACATGAACACAATACAATTATTGAAAAAGAAATCAATTTAAAATAATAAAATTTAATAATATAATTTTTTTGATTTTTATGCATTAGATAACTTGTATCTGACATTTTCTATATTGTTTAGTTTTAAACTCGTCTTTTTCAGCAGTATATTATAATAATAAATAGAGATTTAGTCAATCTAGAAGAGAAAGATGAACATTGTTGAATATACGTCAATGTTTTTGAAAGATTCGAGTTATAAGAGAGAAATACTCGTAGAATATTTATCGATAAAATAAAATGATTTCTTGTTGATTAATTTCTTTTTTTAGTATTGTCTATAACAATTATAACTTGCCAGTACGTAGCGAATATCAGTTTTTTCATTAAAGAAATTCAAATACTTTTGTTTATTTTTCTCGTATATTATCGAGTCATGTTATAGACATGAAAATATGTAAAATTTCCATTAATCCGCTGATTAAACTAAATTTTGACATAAAACAGAAAAATATAACTATTTAAAATTCTAAATCAGCATACCAAATATCTTAATAATTTTTCATGAACATCTTATTTGTTCACAAACATTTCGAACGATGTTAAAATTATAGTTGATAGAATAAACTTATTGAATCTATGCATCGAAAGCAGAAGATAGTAAAAGCCGAATCGATATATGATATTACAAACTATTACATATTGTATACTTGATTCACAATAACAAGAAGATTATTTATTCGTTGGATCCATTATATTTATTATTTTATGAAAAATTGTAAACATCATATTTTGATTAAGAAGAAATGTTTCAATTTAAGAAAAATATTATGAATTATTCATTATTATAAAACATTACAATTCTAAGATTTTTCACTTTTCTTTTCTTTTCTAAAAAACTATCTATATTCTACAACTATTCTAGAATAAAGTTAATTTGAGAAAAAATGATTTATTCATTTTAAACTCATTTGTCTCAGTACGGTTTTTTGTCTTGACAGGTATTAAGAGAAATCGGCATTGACTATTTAAATACGTTTTACTCTTGTATTACGTAGTTTGATAAACAGCGAACATGAAAATGATAGCTAAAACAAAAAAGGTTATTAGGAAAAAGCAGCAGCAACATATAGAAGTCTTTTGACTAATACAAATGTTGATTACTAAGAGATTTTCACATTTATTTCATACATTGAAAATTTCTAATTTTTCAATAGGCGTGTGTGTGTCTGTTAGTAGAAGACTCATAACTAAACTCACATTCTTCTCTAATCGCATGTCAACAGCTTTTTTCCATTCCACAAGCTAGCCACTGAGTAAATATTCATTTTCTAATTTCAATACTCTTAAATCATGAAGATTATTGAGTTCAAATATTTTATTGTGTTATTTCCTGTTTATTAAATGATTGAGCTAGAATTGAAACAAACTGTGACTTGTTAACCCATAGATAATCGAAACATTCATAGTTCTTTCTCAAAGAAAACTTATTTGTAAGTTATTTGTTATAATATAATGAAATAATTCAAAAATAGAATAAATTAATGATTGTCAATATGACTTTGACACATCAATCGATAATCTGTAATTCGAAAAAAAACTTTCAACTTTAACATTGTTATTCAAAAGGTCTTGATTTGATTGATACCACAACCCTTATGTCGTACGAATCAGAGACAGAACGAACTGACTTTTTCTGGTTCGAGTTCGTTTACAGCGCCTGACTAGAGCACCTTTTTTTTTCATTTGTAATGAGTTGATTCTTATTAATATTATTTGTTGAAAGTAATTTAACTAACTATTAAGTGTATAGAACTTAAGAACATGATGATCAAATTTCGATTTGCGAAGAAGTTTTTGAAAAATCAATTATTCGCATTGTAATGACAAGATAAAATGAAATGCTTTATGAAAACAATAATACATAATGATCTTCAAATTGTGAGAAGAAAAAAATAAAGATAGTTCATAAATCCTTAATAATATAGTGTTGTCAATTAGATGATTGTTCTTTACGAAAAGAACGAGCAAAAATATATAGAGGAATAAATTAAAAATTTATATCGTTGACCAATGACTGATCGTTATCAACATATTGTATATTATTATCATGAAGAGAGAAAGGAACACCTAATATAGAGATTAAATTAACGATGTAAAATAATAGATCAAAGATCGTTTGGTCATCATCAAAAAATATTCTTACAAAGTAAATGATAATTCAACCAATACTATTCTGCTCGTCATCTTTCTTCAACAATTAGTTCGAGATCGATTCGTTTTCGCTCTCTGGTACGAACAATACTGTCATATACTTGATGCCATTTAAATTTGTTCTATGATATTGAAAAAATGCACATCGTCGAAAACATCGAAGACAATGGGTAAAAAGAGAAGTAACACACATATAGTACATAATAATGCCATGATCAAGTGTATTGTTGAACAGATCTATACCTAATGGCACCTTGGAAAAATTGTCGAAGTGCTTTTCGAAATTTAGATGATGGAAAGACAAAGATAAAAAGACATGTCATGAGTGGTACAAATGATAGAAAGTAAACAATAAGATACATTGTATTCTGCCATGAATATGTAATACATGTAAGAAAAAATGTAAGAATAATACGAGGAGTTGTCAATATAATAATAATAGAGGGACTGATCACATTGTACTTATATGTGCTTAGAACAGTTATGAAATTGGACCATGTCGTAGTATTTTGGTTTATTGTTGCTTTTTCTCTTGTTAATCTAGTAAACATTAATATTGGTGTGATCAGATTTATCAAATATGGGAATAGAAGATGAAAAACATTCGTAAACTTAATAAAAATACTTCGATTAGGAGTATTGTAATATAGTGAACACCAGCGGTGATCTGAAAAATGACGATCAGAAAGTAAACGACGTTGAAAAAATTCATGAATAGCGATTAAAGAATGATACACGATTAATATTGGAATAATGGTTTTTGCAACATTGCGACTTTGCATTTTATTGAATAATAAATGTGTATAAACAGCAACTGTACGTTCAATAGCAATACATGCTGTTAGTGAATAATAAAGTGAAATCAAAACAGCAATTAGATAGTCTAAACCAAAACAAGTTATCCATTGGCTACTTTTTGTGACAAAAATGAGAAGTAAACGAATAGTTATTACCGTTATGCCAATTTGTCCTATAATTGAGATCCATAATCGATATATACCATTTCCCATTTCACGTGTCTCAATTTGACAAAATGTAATAATAGACAATGTATTGCATATGGTGCCCAAAAGAAGACAAACGAGTATACTGATAATCATTCGTACTGGTTTAATAGAAACATACAAGAGAGCCTCTAGTGATATGCTATAGTAAGATGTGGTAAATTGACAAATAGATCCATAAAAACATATGGAACATAAAGATGTGGAATTCCAACCGTACTGAGTGATGTTATCATGTACCATAGCATCGACCATTGAATTATAGATTTTCAATATAGAAACAAAAATGATATTCTGAGTTCATTGTACTAATAACAATATAAAGAGAACGATACAAACAATGATGTTTGTGTACGTATGTCTTTTTGATGTACAGATTGGACAAGAACGAACGAATGTAAGTACGTAAATATGCAAGAGGGCGCAAAATTCTTAATGAAACTAGTAAAATTGAGGATTAATCAGAAGTTAAAGTTGCTGGATAATTTCTTTTTAATATTTGAAATGAAAATAGTCTTTCAACACAATAACACACTGGCAGATTGTATACTCATGAGATAACTATAAAATGAATTGAAAGAAAAGCTTAATAACATATCGAATATTAATCTATTTTAATTGATTAAATTCTTTCAGAAGATTTTCAGTTTTACGTTATTGTATTAAATCAGCAGCAATCTTCAGCTGATTAAATCGTAAAATAATGAGTACAAAAAATTCATTAGATATTCTAGGTAATAGTTTGATGTTTAACAACCAACGTTAACTATCGACTGTTTTCTTTTATTTTGGTTAATGGCGACACAATAACATGATTTAAAAGAAACAGAAAGAAAGGTACATTCAATGTTTAATAAATAATAATTAATTTCATAAAAATTCAATGAGCTCATGGGAAATTTGATGTTGCGACAAAATCATATTGTAAAAACAGATTCACTTCTCCTAAAATGAGTTTACAACGAACAATAGTGATACAAGTGGTATGTTTTTACAGCTATACTGCTGATTAGATGCCTTATTATCAAGATACAGTAGTCAATAGTGGTGTAGGAAATAATAGAAGTATATCAGGTACGATTAGGTAGAACAAATTCTGTAGGTACAATCATGTATTGAAGCTTTATGATGTGTACAGATCTGTTTTGTGTTTAAGAGAGCATATGAACCTATAGAGATATGGTAATGCGTACAATTCGCACTCTTCTTAGTGTGGGTGTGGGGTGTGGGTGTGAGTGTGGGTGTGGGTGTGTGGACGTGAACTTGGGTCTTCTCTTAACGCACTCACACCCACATCAACCACCACCCACCGACCCACACGCACACCCCCACTCACATCCACACCCACACCCACACCGACACCCACACCCACACCCACACCCACCCACACCCACACCCACACACCCACCCTAAGAAGAGTCCGAAATGTACGCCATCCCCCACACACATAAGTTCNATTGGAAAGTACAGGTCGAGTACTCTCTATATATACCTGTTTAATACGAAAACTCATTGAATATAAAATATAATAAAAACAAACAAACTCGATTGCTAAGAGAAAAAAATCACACAAAAAAAGACAAAAATATATTGTTGTTATAAGTTTCCGTAGTTTTAGTAAAATGTGAATAGGTATACAATTGAGTAAGAGTTTTGTTTTGACATTTTTATATGGTTTGATAGAACTCGTCGAGCTCTACAAAACTGTGTATACTAAAAACATTTTAGACCCTTTTCATTGCATAAATTTACTAAAACCTTGCATTTTTCACGTTTTCTATATGGAAAATTGCCAAAATCTTTCTTCCATATAAAAATACGAGTTTTTCACATTTTTTACATAGTTTTTAGTAAATTTATGCAATGAAAGGGGTCTAAAATTTTTTTAATATACACAGTTTTGTAGAGCTCGACGAGTTCTATCAAACCATATAAAAATGTCAAAACAAAACTCTTATTCAATTGTATACCTACTCACATTTTACTAAAAATACTGAAACTTATAACAACAATATATTTTTGTCTTTTTTTGTGTGATTTTTTTTTCTTAGCAATCGAGTTTGTTTGTTTTTATTATATTTTATATTCAATGAGTTTTCGTATTAAACAGGTATATATAGAGAGTACTCGACCTGTACTTTCCAATAGTAAAAAAGAAATTTAAATTCCATTGGATAATTTTAATATTCGACACAAAACAAAACAGTGGTGCCAGACTTTTGACGTCCACGGTAGTACATAATAATTTCATGATCAAGTGTATTGTCGAACAGATCTATATTTAATGGTACGTTGGAAAAATTGTCGAAGTTCTTGTCGATATTGAGATGATGGACAGACAAAGATAAAAAAACATGTCATAAGTGGTACCAATGATAGAAAGTAAGTAATGAGATAAATTGTATTCTGCCATGAATGTGTAATACATGTCAGAAAAAATCTAAGAATAATGCGAGGAGTTGTCAAAACAATAATAGTACAAGGACTGACTAAATTGTACTTATATGTGCTTAAAACACTTATGAAATTGGACCATATCGTAGCATTTTGATTTACTGTTGCTTTGTCTTTTGTTAATCTAGTAAACATTAATATAGGTGTGATCAGACTTATCATATATGGGAATAGAAAATGAAAAATATTTGTAAACTTAACAAAAATACTTAGAGCATGACTGTTGTAACGTAGTGAACACCAGTAGCGATCTGAAAAATGACGATCAGAAAGTAAACGATGTTGAAAAAACTCTTGAATAGCGATCAAAGAATGATACACGATCAATATTGGAATAATGATTTTTGCAACACTACGACTTTGCATTTTGTCGAATAATAAATGTTTGTAAGCAACAACTGTACGTTCAATAGCAATACATGCCGTTAATGAATAATAAAATGCAATCGAAACAGAAATGAGGTAATCTAAACCAACACAAGTGATCCATTGACTACTTTTTGTAACAAAAATGAGAAGTAAACGAATAGTAATTGCCGTTATGCCAATTTGTCCTATTATTGAGATCCATAAACGATATATACCATTTCCCATTTCACGTGTCTTAGTTTGACAAAATGTAATAATAGACAATGTGTTGCATATGATACCCAAAATAAAACAAACGATTATACCTATAATCATTCGTACTGGTTTAATAGAAACATACAAGAATGCCTCTAGTGAAATGCTATAGTAAGATGTAGTAAACTGGCAAACAGATCCATAGAAACATGTAGAACATAAAGATGTGGAATTCCAATCGTACTGAATGATGTTATCATGTGCCATAGCATCGACCATTGAATTCTAATTTTTCAACACTGAAACAAAAACAGTATCCTTAGTTTGTTTAACTAAAAACAATATAAAAGGAATAATAAAAAAGAATGATGTTTGTATACTTGTGTCTTGTTGAAGGACAGGTTGGAGAACAACGGACGAATGAAAATAAGTAAATATGCAAGAGGGCGCACAATTCTTGATAGTTGATGGATGATTTTTTTTTTAATATCTGAAATTAAAATAGTCCTTCAACACAATAACACATCGGCCGACTACTTATGAGATAGCTATAAAATGCATTTAAACAAAAGCTTAATGACATATCGAATATTAATCTGTTTTAATTGGTTAAATTCTTTCAGAAGATTTTCAGTTTTACGTTATTGTTTCGAATGAGCAGCAATCTTCATCTGATTAAATCCTAAAATAATAAGTACTAGAAATTCATTCGATATTGTAGGTACAGGTTTGATCTTTAACAATCAACGTTAGCAATCGATCAATTGTTTTTTTTGGTTAATAGCGACACAACACCATGTTCAAGGGGATTCTAATGTTGCGAAGAAATCGTATTGTAAAAACAGATTCACTTCTCTTAAAATGCGTTTACAGCGAACTATAGCGGTACAAATGGTATGTTTTTGCAGCTATACTTCTGATTAGATGTCTTATTTGGATATAAAATGAACCAAAGAACATTATGAGTTTTTCAGATCGTTGTCTTAAATAGAAAATGAAGCCGATTCTGTAGACACTCAATCGATTCAAGGACTTTATTAGACTTTCTCAAATTCTTTTGAGATTATTCTCTTTCATAATTTTTCAATTTGATATAGTTTTTGTTCCATGGAGTAAATCATTTTAATAGAGTTCATTCGACAATTTTATGCAGTCAAAACCTAAATATGAATTAAGACAATGAATTGAATTTCGTACATACCTAGTTAAACGATATTCTGAGTTGTCAAAGAGTCATATTCATATTCTTTCCCTTAGAAGCCTTCCAAATTTCTTCTACTAAAGCATTTCTATCAGTATTTTTACATAAACTAAATTCGGCTTTCCTAGATTGGAGTAAAAAGAAGTAATTTAAAGCCTCATGCTTCAAATTTTTATCTATCTAGTTGTGTTAAAGACAGAACATATCATCTTCGTACTCGCTCTCCAATGTAAATTAAGAGAGGATGTAGATGGTCATGTGCATCAAATAGAGATGGTTTTCTACACAGGTACGTGTATTTGTTGCAGATTTTTTACTGCCACGTTCAGGGTTCCCGATTGTTTTTGGGAGTGCGGGGGGAGAGGTGGTCAAAAATTTGGCAGAAAGTTTATAATTTTTTCGCAGAAAGTCGATATTTTTGCAAAAAAAGCTCTTCTTTCTGCGAGAGGTTTGACAGAAATAACGTCAACTTTCCTGGAGAAATTTGGCAGAAAGCACTACCTTTGGTTTAATTTTATTCCAACAAATGCAAAAGTTTTCTGCTGAACTGAACTTAAAAATTGTCGCAGAAAGTCTGAAATTTGGGGGGGGGGGGGGGGGAAAAGACCCCTCTCTCCCCCCCCCCCTCCGGAAACGCGGGGCGCGTTTTGGAAAAATACTGATGA